AGAAAATTATATTATTGTGTCATTCATTCATATAATTGATTAAACACTGTGCGATATTTTCAATTTAATTATTGAAATATTAATCGAAATAAGTCTCAATCATTCATTTTACCTTCATCACCTCATAAAATTTCTGTATTGCATCAAGTCAATTTTAACTTTCATTTTAAAATTTCCTATCATATAATTCGTCATGTTCAATGCTATCTGGAATGTTTACTCTCATATATTTGCATAAATGCATTCAGATTTCGTGGAATATTTGCTAAAATGAGGCATATTTTCTTTCCTTTTCTAAAAGATTATAAAATTGCAAAATGTTGCGGGATATTGTGATAATTGGAAAAATGAAATCCATATTTTTCACCAGATCATTTTTTTTCATAGATTTTTTTAGTTTTTGAAATAATTTTTGTCTAATTCATTCTTTCATCTCGTTTTATTTTAATTAATTACAAGAAATTTCAATTTGCAACTTTCTAATATTCGATTTAACTTATAATTTGGTGATATGATATGTTTCCAATTATGCAATCGTTCTAATAGGTTATTTTCAATTTTTTGTTGTATTTTCCTGAAGCTTTATTCACTGATAGCCTTAGATTTTTATCAGTAATATTAGAATTTTATCAGTAATATTACTGTTCCTACCACAGTTTATTTAGCAGATTTCTCCAAATAAATGTGCTACCACAACGTAATTTTATTCATTATACTTTTTTTTAAAAAAATATATTAACACTTTTCAGGAAAACCATGCATAACAAAATTTCATTGAATTTACATACAAATTATTTTATATTCTATCTACATTTCAACCATCATTGTGAAATATTTCATGAACTACACTATACGGGAGTGTTTGGTATTCTTTTTTTTATTCATTAATAAGATGAATGTTCAAAGAAATGTATCCCATGCTTTCGATAGCATAGCAGTGATTTCTATGTTTTAAATTATCCGAAATACTGTACAAATTTTCTCACTCAAAATAGTTGAATTTGAACATCTATTGCAAGAAAACCGAACAATTTAATGCTTGAATTAACTGATCCATGAATTAAGCTTCTTCCGTAGTAGCATTTTTCAATGCTCTTTACTTCGATTGTATAAATTTATCGATATTTGCCTCATGACATCCTTCGCTGTTGAAATTTAATCTCAAAAAATTCATTGCAACATACACATCTCGACTTCTGAATCTTTTTACCGTAACAAAATTAAAAAATTAAAATACCAACATCCGCATTGTTTTCTTGAATTTCCATACAAATATGAAAAAAACAGTCTTTGAAAAATGATTGCACAAAAATCATATAGCTTAAAAATAATGACAAGAATTGCACCTCTCATCGTTGGTATTTTATATCTTGCCTGAAGGTTACAATTTATGAAACGAAAAAAAAAATGATGCCAATGTCTGCTAAAAAAAAATACATTTTATTATGAGAAAAAAAATAGACCATTATGAGAAAAAAAAGTAGATAGCAATAAAAATGGAGGGAATGCTGAATCTATTAGAATCGTGAAAATTTCAAAGGACAAAAGTGCACCATCAATCTGATATCTTTTGCCTTAATTGCCAGTGATTTACTGCTACTTGTTGACAAAAAAACTGATCAACCAATCAAGTTAAACACGATCTACATATGAACAGCATTACAAGCATAAAAGTAATACAGGCGAAAAAAAAATTATATTGAAATCGATACATATTCGAAAAGAAATTGAAAAACCAGCGCAAACACCCGAACATAGAAAATGTAGTAATTAATAATGTGAGTTATTTTTTTCTTTTTTAAGCAGTCACACAGCTAGAGCATATTCCACAACAATAAATGAAATGAAATGAAACCAACTTGAAAAAAATTACAACCAATTCCCTCTTAAAAATAATTTCACTTTGAGATCAAGTAATATTTTAATGTACAAATTGCCAGCATTTAAAAAATGTCAACTAATTGGTTACAAACATCAATATATACCATTGTGGCGAAATTAAGAAAGATGCTGAGGTCCTCAGGATTAAGTAAAATGAAATCTACTGATTACAATCGTAAAATTTTTTTTTTTTTGTATTTCTTGCACTTTATCCTATTAATTCCGCTAATAATTCCCATCCCAATTCAACTTGTTAAAAAAACTTTTGAAAAGTGCTAAAACTTTTTAGCACTTTTTACAAACTACATAAAATTTCTCCAGGATTATTGCAAGATTTCAAAAATCACATGTCTTCTATGTCTTCTACGATATATCATTGTAAAACTTCAAAAATTAAATGTCTGCTTTTATCCATTTGTTTATTAATCACTGATAAGAAACTATAAAAACATCATTCAGAAAATGAAAAATCGCGTATACAGAAGGCGAAATATCCTTTACATTGAGCAAAATATTTTATCCATTTAGATCGATCTGTTTCTTGATCCACTCATAAAGAATTTAAACTCACGTTTTTCTTCAGTGCGCATATTTCTTGTTTTCATTGTTTACATACCTACACCCATGTTCTTCGCAAAAACAAATAAAATATGCTACGTGGCATTCCCTTCTACAATTTTCTTCTAAATAAAATTTCGAAAAAAAAATTTCAAAAAAAGATGCTTACAAAATTATATTAGTTAATGAACTAAGACCTAACCTAATGTTAGAGCTTTATTATAAAAAACAAATTATACAAGATCTCTAATTACATAGCATACACAAAACTACTGAATAAAACCAGAGTGAATCACAGGCAGCTTATCATAGAAAACATTGAATACCTGCAAAATCTATACCAATTAACGCTAAAATCTGATGATGTTCAAAAATGGAAACGAAAAATTTTTCTGTAAAAAACTTAATCTATTCGCAATTCCTAATCTTTAATAAAATTAGTGGAAGAACATACCATTATAAAACTTCGCCATCTTCAAGTTCTTCGTTTGGCGGTGGTAAAGGTGGAGGTGGCAAAGCTGAAAGCATAATGTATTGAACTACCCGAAACACACGGGTAATGGGAAAACTACAACTCGGTAAGAAATGGATGAAAAAATTCCTAAAGTCCTGTAAGAAATCCAGGACATTAAAAATTTCAGCATTTTCCAATATCTCATTTTAATTCTCATCCCCCTTTCTATGCTCTATTTCTCGCATTGAGGTGTTAAGGCATCAATAATTCTTGCCTCTCTACAGATTGCAAAAGCACTTTTAATCACAACCGAAAAAATATTGAAAGAAAAAATCAAATTCACGAGCCATGCAAAAAAATCAACGAACACATTGATTTAATATGATAAAATCAGTCATGAAAAATAATGAATTCAGCAAACGGTAGAAATGAAACGCACAAAAATTAGCAAGAACAGATGAAGCATTAGCTAAATTTGTGTCGGCATAAGACGAGTAAAACTCGTGTGAACGCCAGGAACGTCTTCTCCATTCTCCACACCTATATTTTGGTGACGATTGACGCGGCTTTATTTTATAGACATACCGTTGACAATAATAGCGCCGTGTGAAACCTAAATTTTGCATGCGAACAGGAAAAGCACGCTACTAAGCTTGTATTAATCAATCATCAGTGCTCCTGTTCATTTTTCTTTTTTTGATAATATTGATACTGCAAATTGAAAACAATAGTGCGTTCAAGAAAAGCTCATGGCAACACTTAACAGGAAGCACAAACTATACCATATCAAAATACCATTGGTGGTTATTTGCATAAATCACAAAATTTGTGAAAAAATGAAACATGACAACGAAGATAACATGCACTATCTGATAATGATTTCTTACATCTTTTATATGCTTTATTTCAACGTGAAGTAATTTTAAGTTACATGCAAAATTATCCTAGAAAGCAGAATATAGCCAATTGAAAAATTAAAAGCAACTTGAAATCGAAATGTGTCAAGATGCTAGATTTTATGCAAAAAGCAATGCATATTATGTAATGTAATAATGCAGCAAACAGCTGTAAAGATAATGAGCTTTGCTTACCACATTATGTCTACCTTTCTAAGTAATGCATAAATATTTTTAAATAACTTTCTCTTTTGCAGTATAAATCATTACTTGAATAACCAGATCCTGTACGACTTCCAGGACTCGGCTGACGGTGTGACTGTCGATAAGTATTCGATGTTGCTGATGTAGTGGGCGAATGTGGTCGCGGACGGGAACGCTTATAATATGAGTTTCCTGTGTCAGGTGTACTTAATAAAGGTTCACGTGACTTTGTACGCCCAACACTCGACGACGAATAATGCTACAATATTTCAACTTTTCATTTTTAATGATGAATTTAGAACATCAGATTTCTTTCATCTAATTTAAACTTAACAATATAGAAATAAAACACAAAGATGTAAAATTAAATGATACTCACCCTGTGGTTAGATGATCCAGATGACTGCGAAAAACGTGATGCATTATTGGAAGATGAGCCTAAATAATAATCATTTGTCACCGCCCAATTCGTAGAGGTGTTAGTTCTTTCACCAATATGATTTGAACGATTCGGCTGTACTGTCGACATGTTATATCTAAAAATTTTCCCAAAAATGTTTATTGTCGCATATGAAAAAGTAAATCCAATAAACAAAAACTGAATTATATAGTGAATAGAAAAATTCCACTAAATTAGGAGTAAAAATGAAGTGTACCACCTAAACAAGTAACTAAAATTTGTTGTCAGGTTAATCGAAGATTTCTCCGACTAAACTGTAACTGAAAAAAGAGACAAAAGAAAGGAAAATGAACTTTGAATTTTGTGAATTCGTGCTCACTGCAGAAACGGTATTTGATGCAGGTGGTGTTGGTAGAAGAGCAATCAAAGGTGCCGTTTGTCGTGCTCTTTTTAACGATCCCACATCATCACGTTGTCGCGAAGATACGCTTTCATCACGACTTCTATTGTTGTTACCAGCGCCATTATTGTCACGTTTAAGTGGCTGTGGAGCCGCTTCTTCGCGTGATCGCGAAATCGTGCTACAGCCACCAGAAGCCATGTGATTTAAAGGAGTTACTGGACTGAAAAAAGTTTAAGGATAAATGAGATAATCATAAACTCATTAGCACAAAACTTCCAATATATTTTAGTTTACTTACTTGTGACGTTCTGCTGGTTTGGGCGTTCCAGATTTTGGAGATGGTGTCACACTCGTTGCTGTTACAGTGCTATCCGGTTGATTAACAGCTACACTATTTTCATAGAGTCTCTTACGGTGATGTGATCCTAAAAAAAACTTTCAACCTCAAATTATTATGACAAAAATCAACCAGGGTCCCAAAGTTGCAAATTTTTGGAAGGCATTACGCAAAAGTTCGTTTGAATTCACCTTCTGCATTCGTTTTCTCAATTCTTCTGTGCTTCAAATCTTTATCGTAATCATCTAGTTTGGGCTTTTTATGTCGTTCTTGTTCAATGGCCCCCGCTGGCTGTCTCATAGGTTGCAACTGTTTCACAGCATTCGTGATGGCTGGTTTTTGCGAAGTCGTCGGTTTTGGCGTCCCAGATTTTGACATTTGGACAACTTTGGCTTCATTTGGCTTAACTGGATCGGGTTTATTCTGATTTAATTGCTTTTCTGAAACGATAGAGAACAAATAAATGAACAAATAAATAAATACATACACAAATGCACAAAAAAAGAAAAAAACTATTTTGCGTTAGTTTAAATATATTCCTTTCTTTGACTGAATGACAAAATATATTTATTCAACATAAAGCCAAACTGACATCGTAAAGTTTATAAAATACATTTTGAGATGCATGCAATCAAACTTGCCATTTGCAATAATTGGAGGAAGCGATAAATCCAGTCCTTTAGCAACGGTCTGTGGTAGTACATCAGGTCGCATGAAATTTCTTCGTTGAGCTTGCGCTGCAGAATTTTGTGAATTGCTCGGCTGCTGCTGTTGCTGCGCTGCTGTAAAACAATTACGAAAATAATCAAAAATTTAAAATTTAAATTTAAATCATGCTTATCAATGCTTGCTATTTTAATCAATCTGTGTTTATATAGACAAGTCCTAGGGTTTCAATAATGGCTTATCTTGTCTTGGGAGATGTTTTAGATAGGTGTTCAGTATACATCGAACAATATTTAATGGGAAAAATAGAAATGTTATCAGTTGAAATCCGATGATTTTTGTAAGATTTTAAGCCATTTTCAATTTCTGACCATTATTCCGTAATTTGTAATCACTGAGGTCGATCCGCCGAGTTGGCTCAGCACCTTTTACAGCCACGGCTATATTAAGCTGCGGTGCCACCGGAGGCGGTGGTAGAGTCGCGATTGATGGTGCAACCTCTGAAGCGACTTGTACACATAATTGAAATATTTCAAGA